ATACTAGCTTCTGCCCGCGGCTTCGTACGCGCAGTCCCGTTTTCTCCCGTTACCGTAGAATTTTCAGGATTTTTCTGTCGTAAGAATTTACAATAACAAACACAACAAAAGAAAGATCAGCTAAATCGGTCCAGCCATTCTCAAGTTATGGTGTGACAACGGGAAACGGGTTTAATTTTATATAGACTAGCGGACCCGACAGACGTTGTCCTGCATATCCACTTGAATGTATAAACAAAAATTCATTCAAATTAGTTCACCTGTTTAGGATAAATAACCTAAACATCGACTGCAGCGCCATCTGCCGGGCTGATTTGTGAATCTAAACCATTCCCAGATCCCCTTGAACACACACAAAAAAAATCATCAAAATCGGTCCAGTCGTTTGAGAGAAGTTCAGTGACATACACTCACAGAAGAATTATATCTATAAAGATTATATTTCCTGATATGATCTATATTATTCTATGTTACTACCACCTAAGTAAAACATTGTGGAACGCAATAAAGAATTTAAATTTGAATTGAATTTGAATGAAGTAGGTGTTATAAAATGAGTTACATCCTCAATGCCTTGTAAATATGCCTTGGTGGAGCCGGGAATCTGATTGATGACGGCCTTATCTTTCACTTGAAAAATTGACATGTAAAGCCTTGTAGCGTATTTGTAGAAATGAATTCACTTGTTTCACTTGACTATTTATTTTTTTTTAAGTTTCTTTGTGGGTACTTAATAAAGTTTTTAATTGTGACGTAGATGGACCTGAGTATGGAAATTGGTCGGCACTTCCTATGTGAAAATTACAAAAAATAAAAACAAATATAAGTACATATTTCTACTTATTTATTGCATATTATTATTTCCGCTAATGTAAACTTATCATCTAATTACTTTTACGTGTGATTTCATCGGGTAACCATAAAGTTTAAATCCAATTTTAATAGGATCGACCAAATTACCATACCAAACCAAATAAATCTCAATTAAAAATGTCATTAATAGAAAAACCTTGCACAACCCGGACATCGAACTTATGACCTCCTATATAGTAAACACTAGGTGGAAAGATTTCAAAGTTTAAGATGAATAAGGAAATAATATTTATAACAACTATTTAGTATAAAATAATAATATATAATGAGATTCTTAGACAAAAACTTTAATATTATTTATATTATTCCGTACATATTCATGTACTTTTTACGACTTACTTATGTCTCATTTAAACCCGAGTAAGTACTGTACTTATTATTTTAATGTGCTATGTAGCATGACTAATTTTGTTAAACGTAAACTGAACTGGCCGACTAGGCATGGTATTTGATCACATGATTGGTGCAATGGCTATGACTGGCTGCTGTGCAAAGAGGTCCCATGTCTGCATGGAAAATTAAAAGCCATCTCCGTACGGGACAATTAGGGTGACTATTAATATCATGCTGTGGTCCGAACAGCGTTACCGTAAGTGTATAATTACGTACTACTATGGGCTAGTTTTCTAGGTTTAAAATAAATTGTTTCAACTTTTCAATGCAATAAATAATTCAAAAATAATCATACTCTCATCCATTGATTTGACAATTTACTTTTGGATTTTTTAAATGATGTCAGGACATTGGAAAATATAGTTTCATTTTTTTTTTGGCTGGATCGAATATACATATTATAGAAAGGCATTTTTTTATTATAACTATCGTGAGACATACTAAATTAACTAAAAATCGCGGGTTACTCACGTGAATATACTGACCGCGCACGCCGCTCATGAGGAAGAACCCCTCTGTGGTTCGAAACTAGTAGAGTTTCTCAGTATATTCACGAAAGGCAAAGTGTTTATAGATACATCCGGCGTCAAGGATTTTAGACCAGCTCCCTGAGCACTGGTTTCCTGCATAGATAACTACCACCTGTGCTAAGTCACTAAGTCTAGATGTGTTTGTGTAACGAAATAATTGGTTGCAGGTCGGTGACTTCAAACTGGCCTATGTTCAGCAGAAAATTAATCTTGACCGCTTGTTCGCGAGTTGCACTTGCGACCAATCATATGTGAACAGAACTTACTAATGCATTTTGTACCTAATTACAATTTCAATTAGAGGCGAATTTTCGCAGTATTTTACCATACGGAAATCTATTATTTAAGACAGCAATTGGATGAGCAACCATAGGCCTAACAAGTTGACACCTTAGGGACGTTTATAACGTCGTACGTGGAAAAATGCTAGGTACCTATGTCATATCGCAACATTGGAAGTGTGCTGAAACTTACCTACAGCCTGAAAATCATTCGAAAAAAAAAGAAAATGCGGGAAACTGCAGCTAGTGAGCTAGGTATCTACCTACTTATTTAAAGACTCAAACGATCGAAATCGAAATTAATACCTAATCGATATCAAAGAATTTTTTAGCTTATGCTCGATTTTTTGACAGTGGTTGTTTGTTTCAAAAACCAAGATCGATTCAGAGATAGATTAAAATCGATTAGGTACCTATTAATATCGGCCATTTCTCAATCGATCAATCGCAATCGATCAACATAGCCGAGTGTAAAAATTCTAAATCTCCCTACTACTAGAATTTGTTCATGCAAGATATTGTCCTTGTGTTTAACGGTTTCTTACGATAAATATTTTATTGTTATTAGGTATAAAATATCTGAACATACGTTGACTATAGAACGTGTAACTAGGATTGTTTCAGAATTCTAACATAATACATATTTTAAATTCAGCTTGTTCATCTAGGAAGGCAAGTCCCAGGGTTTAAAAACGAATATAAGGAACCTAACAAGAAATAAGACTATTTTTAAGTTATCGAGTGGTCGCAAGTGCGCCTGCAAGAGGTCTAGGGTTCAATTCCCGGGTCGGGCAAATTATTACTGAGATTTTCATAAATTCTCAGTCAGAGTCTGAAATTGTGCCCGATATATGGCAATAGGCTCATCCCATATTACATGGGACTCGTAACATAAATAGTGAAAAGTGGGCGTTACATTGTACAGTGGCATTAAATGCCGTAATGTGTACCTCTGCCTATCCCTTCGGGGATAAAAGGAGTGATGTTATGTTATGTTTGTTAGGTTATCCGGTTTTAGTTTTATGTACTTCATTTGTTTTTATTTTGGTCTACTGACACGTGTTGCCGGTTGCGGCGTATTAAAGTACTAACAACATTAGGTCCTAGTTCTAACCGAATACCTAATTCCAGCTAAACAAAACGTCTGTTGCATTTATTTATTAATCTCGTTTGTCTAATGGTTCTCTCATAACGGATTTTACTAAATTTTGTCAACTGTAAAATATAACAAAGTCTATGCAATGAAAAAATAAGTGTTTATAAAACTCATAAAGATTGGACCCGAGTTTAAAGCATTTGGATCGAACGATCGATCTTGTCTTAACCCCTCGAGCGTCCTTATGAGCACCCGGTGGATCATAAGAAAAAATGCTCCATGCTGCTTTCTCTTTTATTAAATCTATTATTAATGTTTTGTTTTTATTTTGACTGTAGGTATTTAATTTATTTCTATTGTAATGATTCTTGTTTTCGTATATCTCTGATTTTTCGATTTTAAAATGATCTATACTATTTTGACTTTAGTGGTCATAGGGCCATGTAAGTGGGTGTACTTATTACGTGTCTTACAATATTCTATTGAAAAAATCTCGTTGTATCAAAGCCACGGTATAGACTACCCTTTTGGCTACAGCACTATTCAACCTTTGAAATCACGATAGTTAGTACATCATCTTTTGTGGAATATGAACCAACCCATGCATACCAAACAACCGTAATGTCTAAGTGTCTGTGACTTCATACAGGGTGTAAACAGAACGCTCCCGAAAAACGCTGACAAAAATAATAGTTTTTAAAATTTTTATCGTTGTTGTTTACATGTTATTCATACATCGTCAGCCTTGAATGGGTAATTACAACAATTATTACATAAAGGAAACATTTAACTCATGAAAGTAATCATGAAAATAAAACTGGTTTTTGACCATAAATCTGTCGGCGTTTTTCGGGAGCGTTCCGTTTACACCCTGTATATAATTTTAAATCAACATTTAAAATATAGTTTTACATATTGTTTTAAGTTTCTGTTCAGATATTGCAAGATCAAAAGTCACTAGAAGTGGGTACGTACATAAATCCCTATTAATGTTTAATGTTTCGTATTTGATGACAACATATCTATTTAGTATTCTTTTAAAGTAAACGAATGCTAAATCTAAGTCTGCTAAAATGTCAACTGAATTTAAATCTTGATACTATTTGGATAAACTTTAATTCTCCGTTTTTTGATAAGTTTTTTAGAACGTGGACTTTATGAAGCTGGAAATTCTTAGGGTCACATAATGTCTGACTAATTTCTGTTATTGATATATTTTCTATACGGAAAACAACAGAAACTTAATTACTTATAAATAGTGAAACAGATCTTTAAATAAAAAATAAGTATTGGTTTCAATAAAAATTACTTAAAATGGTCTTTTGTAAATGTTCTCGACATAACAGGTCATAGGAAATACCGAACTCATCTAGATTTTAAAATATGACGTGTATTTATTATGGACCCTATTGACTTATTGAATTAAATATCGATCAATCAATGCATCGATGTAATTAAAATATCGAAGAAAGTTTAAACTCTAAGATATTTTTGTTAGTCAGTCCTTTATGTCATTATCTTACTTTTAATTAAAATGTAACAATTAATTGCAGGGAAGTTCTACCAAAAACTGTTTTTATTTTCTGCAAGTTCGTTTACCTACATGACTAACATAATTAGGTAGGTATTTTATTATGTTCAAAAAGAACAAAAAACCAGTTATTTTATAATTATTCGCATAAACACACCGAATTATAACAATGGTGCATGTAAAATATTATTCTTGATGTATCCAAAATAATGTATGTTCTACGAAAATAAAAATTAAAAGATAACAAATAAAATCAACGGGAAATACCACTGATTATTATAAAAAGAAGTACTCACTAATAATTGCAAATACATATTGTGTTATCCGCGTCCCTTTCGTCCATTTTAATTTCGTTATTAAGAAATTCATTTTTTAAAAACACTGACCGACCACCGACACAAGTAAAACGCATACAGCCAAGCACGACCGTGGCTTTAAACGAACTGCCAACTGTGTGCGATCGCATTCACAACAAATCAATCGTTTATTTACAAGTTTTACAACGATACGTCTAAACTAAAATGTGATACATTTATTTTTCAATTTCGGAACGTAAAATAAAAATTGATAATAAAATATTTAAATAGTAGGTATATTTTTGCTGCCAATATTTTTTTTAATACGACGTGTTTTGGCTTTTGTTAGCATTCATTGTTGAATCTGTGGTTTTTTGTATTGTTTTTTTATTGTTATTGCAATGATAATATAAATGGCTTAGTTCCTTTTTAAAGGGGAAAGATAAATATTGCCTATTATTACGCTTAGTTAAAATGCTTAACTTATTATACAAGTTTGGGTACTAGATACCTATTTATAGCGAAGCTGCTTATATTATACATAGTTAAATGTCCCCAGTTTCGTGATGCAAAACGGCAACCTTGCTCAACTAATTATGATTTCAAGTTTTATTGATGTTTATGTAAATAGTTTTATTCAATTTTATAATGCTAATTTAGGTAGAATAAGTATGGGAATCTCTTTTTTTCCATCCTTGAGACTTTGTTGGAAATTAAATCAAGTTGTCACGTGTTTCGAATGCGCAACAAATTAATTTGTAAATAAAATTACCATTTTGTATAGCAATATTGTTGTTCTTTCTTAACTCGCGTCAGTGAGTCTGACGGTCCGTTATTGCGCTAATAACTCGAGAACCACTTATCCGAATTACGTGATTTTTTTTCTAATTCCTAATAATGTAGGCACAGGTGTTACTGGGCTAAGATTAACTGAAATAGGTTGGTATTTATTTAATTTGGTAGATTGCAAGTATTTCTAATGTTGGTCATCGAATTTGGTCCAGCCGTTTAAGAGTTCAATGTTAAACACGTGGAAATATTACAGAAGTAAAGCACACATGCTATCCTAAACTGTTAATTTTCTTCAATCGATTTTCTATTTTATTTATAGAAACAATAAAGTCGAATAACTGTTTGATATGTGCAGCTGCATGTGTTAGGTACGAATCTTTATCTATTTTTGTACGTGTGTCACGACAGAACTTCTAAACGGCTGCACCTAAATTGATGTTTTGTACTAGTTAAAATTATTTCCTAGACAGTTTATACCTTTTAGGTATCACTCGATCCTAATCCTATGGGGGACGCTGAATGCGGGCAGTGACGTCAGTACCTAATCGTATTGTGATGATATTTTTAAATGATACCTTTTTAAAACACACGGCCGTTCAATATGGGCAAACGTCGATCCATCAAATACTTATAAAAAATATATATTCCGGTAAATATAATGTGGTCCGAAGAACTTGGAGTAATGTCTTCAGTGTTTCTTGTGTGTATCTTTCTTAATTTCTATTTATTTTCTATTAAGGACTATTAAACTGTCAAACACCAAGCGGTCACCGGTGACCGCGACCTATTGTTCTTTAATTGTGTCTATAAAACCGGTACTCGACGAGTTAATTTCTATTAAGGACTATTTAGAAGATAAGTCGATAGAATCTTGATAGTGTAATTTTAATAATTTTGCACGTTACATATGGCAGGATACGCTGTAAAAAATTGCACTGTAGCACTTTTTGTACTTACCGTATTTTAGCAAATAAACATTTTTGATTTGATTTGATTATTTATTATCACCGTTACTAAATTATTAGGTACTTAGGTACTTCTACAGGTTATCACCCTTTGCTTGATAAGGAATAAAAAATATTGAAATTACTTGAAATACAAAGGTGGATTATCAATAATCCTTCATAATTATTTAAAAAAAAAATTTTTCTTCTTTTCTTATAATATCTTCTGATTCACTTCGTTGCGGGAACCAAGACAGTTACTCATGTCCCTGGGACGCGCCGGACTTCAGTGTTCCGGTGTTTTAATGGATGTATCTACTGTAGATCCTGGCTAACAGGAGTTGCAGCGGTTTTGAGAGATGGTGGCGGGCTTGTTCCTTAAAAAAAAGTCCTTCATTATCAATTGCTGAAGTATAAGGCTCCTTACTATAAACTGGCTACAGGTTTTCCATAATCTATAAGCTCGGTATGGTAATTTTTTTAAGGGGGAAAATCATCACATGACATCTCTCGCCTTGGGTTTCCCAGAGAAAGTGTCAGACTCTTACTGACTAAAAACCCGTTCCTCCTCTTCGAGTCGGAGCCCCGGCAACCCGTTATAGCCCTTTACGGCTAAGCTTGGGAGCAAGCAGGCAGAGGCGGAGCCTATCCAACCAGGGGGTTGCAGTTTGAAAAGTCAGATTTAAGAGCGCAATTGTTAGATCTTTGTCAAATGTAGTACCTAGTCCCTGAGCCAATTCTAACTAGACCTCCGCAAGAATAAGGGTAGTGACAAATATTTGAGGGAAAGAATGGATCCTCGATTGAAATATACTTTTATAAAATTCTTCATATGTCTCGTATGACACACGGTGACCGTGTAATCGAATGATTAGGCAAGCTAGTTCGCATACCTACATACTTATTATTGTGTTCTACCAAACCGATTAGCTATAGATATAAATTTAATTAAAATACTTTCGTTTTAACTAGAAATTAGTAACTGTGAATGAAATTAGCCGAATGAAATTGGAACAAGTAGGCATTGTGTATTTAATAAATTGATAACATTGGAATGTTACCTACCTAATGGTATTGTTTACAGAAAGGTGTTAATCTAACCTTCAGTTTGCAGAAGGAAGCTCAGAATGTAAAAGGACCCCTTTTATCAACATCCAGTTGCCCAGCCACTGCGCTGACTTTACCTATAGTCAGTTTTCCGCTTTCCAATCCAACTCTCGTCCAATCCCGGAGGATTTTTTTTTTAAGAAGGGAAAATCATCGAATGACTCCCTGACTGACTGCTCCCGTTTGGGTGGGGCGGAAGGGAGTGTCAGACTCTTAATGACTAAAAACCACCCCGTTCCTTCTCCTGCACGTCGAGCCGGAGCCCCGGTTACCCGTTAGGTTCTCCGCGACAATCCCGGAGGATTGAGCTCTCCGGTGACCACAATCACACGGCAAAACACAACGTAAGCGTTGTTCCACGTTAGTTTTTAGTGAAGCCGTAGTATCACTCCGATCGAGCCTGCCATTTATCCTACGCTTAAATTGCATTACATTTTGTTGGTGATATGGATAGATATTATGCTGTAAACGAGTGTTGTATGCATAGAATAGGGTAGTTTCCTAAATTTTATTTTAATTGCCGTCTGGTATATTAATTTAAAGCTTTAGACTCGTATTTTTTCTTTACTCACAAAATTAAATAAGTACTATCGACGATATATTTGAAACATCGTGTGACGTCACAGCGTGCCACATTTTGTAGCACGTTATGACGTAATGACCTCCCACTCCCAAACTTAGCGCCATTTTATCTAAGTATTGCAACTTAAATACGAGAAAATAAAAAAATATATGACATTCATTAAACTGTCAAACACCAAGCGGTCACCGGTGACCGCGACCTATTGTTCTTTAATTGTGTCTATAAAACCGGTACTCGACGAGTTAATTATGTAACTGACGGACTAATTAGATTTTTACTTTTAGTACCCTGGAAACTATATAATTCCGCCATTAGGTATAACTTTAATAATAATTTCTTACTTATCAAAAAAATAGTCACAATAAATTTCCCAAAAAAAAAAATTCTCACGTGCACCGTGACTACACTTTGTGGTGAATCGAGACGCCTCAATTATAAAGTTGTGTGACCTTATGTAGATATCGTGACATATCCAGTTAAAACTGGTAAATATAGTTACGTTTGTTCAGTGGTTATTAATGTGACTACAGACTGTTAGATCCTACGTTTGATACCTACCAGTGTAACAGCGAGGTTCTCTCAACCTAAGTTTGATACTGGGATCACATTAGACATTAATAGTCCCTGAAAGTCCATGTTAGACTTAATATGGCTTCTCCACATAGCCAGGAGAGGAGTTTCCATAATTTACATGTTTGGCAGTTAGCTCAGGCTTCTAAATTCACGATTACGCAAAATCCACGTAATTTGTTCATATAAAAGTAAAATAATCTCTATACATTTTTATATGTCATAAGCCGGTAAACGAGCAGACCGATCACCTGATGGTAAGCAATCGGTGTCGCCCATGGACACCTGGAACACCAGAGGCGTTACAAGTGCGTTACCGGCCTTTTAGGGGGTTAGGAGTTTCGAGGATCGTTGGGGATTCAGGGATTGGGTAATTGGTGAAGGGGAGGGGGTAATTGGGCCTCCGGTAACGTCACTCACACGACGAAACACAACTCAAGCGTTGTTTCACGTCGGTTTTCTGTGAGGCCGTTGTATCACTCCGGTCGAGCCGGCCCATTCCTGCCGAAGCATGGCTCTCCCACACTTCCCACGTCTATAATAAAGTGAATGGAAAGAAGAGTTGTGTAGTGACCGCTCGGGGATTTGTAGACTGGTGAAGGCTGTTTCAGGTTTATCAGAGAGCAGTTCTGCACGGTTTCTGTCACATGCGTAGTCGGGTCTTAGAACAACTGTGGGAAGGGAAGAGGTTTGCTCAGTCCAGCTATTTACTGTAACGTGCAGATGAAATTGATGTTTCTGTTTAAAAAACCAAGGTTCCTTTAACCAAGTTCTTCCACCTTCTGTTTAAATGTAACCAAGAATTGTATTGTAAACATGATTAAAGAAGAGTAATTTGGAGTTTCTTGCTCGTTCTTCTCCATAGGAATCTACACTTTGGAACGAGCTAATAGCTTCACTAGAGGACAAACCGACAGACGGATATTTATTTTAATAGTTTTTTCTTTAAGGGTGTAAAATCATCGAGTGGTGGTGAGGCGGAAGGGAGTGTCAGACTCTTACTGACTAAAAACCACCCCGTCCCTTCTCCTGCACGTCGAACCGGAGCCCCGGTAACCCGTTAAACCTAACGGGTTA